AAAGTGAGGTGATGGATATATTAATTAGCCTGATATAATCATTTCACATTGTATACACATATCAAAACATCACATTGTACCTCATAAATGTATACAATTATGACTTGTCAATAAAAAATGATGTAATTTTTTTTTTGGAGAGTGCATTTTTATTTATTTATTTAGTTTATTTTGTCTGTATACAATGTAGTTGATTTTTGTGTCGCTTTACCAATTCCTCCCTCCCCCCCATCAACATCATATCTGTTCACTTGTCTTAACAAGTTCAAGGAATTGTGATTGTTGTGTGTTGTTCCCCACCCTCCTCCATTTGTATTTATTTATTTTTAGCTCCCACAAGTACGTGAGAACATGTGGTGTTTCTCTTTTTGTGCCTGACTTATTTCACTTAATATAATTTTTTCTAAGTCCATCCATGTTGCTGTGAATGGTAGTATTCTTTTTTTATAGCAGAGTAGAATTCCATTGTGTAGGTATATACCACATTTTCTGTATCCACTCATCTGATGATGGACAGTTAGGCTGATTCCAACTCTTGTAAATAGTGCTGCAGTAAACATTGGAGTACAGGTATCCCTTTGACATGATGATTTCCATTCCTGTGAGTATATTCCCAGCAGTGGAATAGCTGGGTCATATGGTAGATCTATCTGTAATTGTTTGTGGAACTTCCAAACTATTTTCCATAAAAGCTGCACCATTTTGCAGTCCCACCAACAGTATAGGAGGGTTCCTTTTTCTCCACAACTTCACCAGCATTTATCATTCTGTCTTTTGGATATTAGCCATCCTAACTGGAGTGAGATGGTATCTCAGTGTGGTTTTGATTTGCATTTCCTGAATGCTGAGTGATGTTGAGCCTTTTTTCATGTGTCGGCCATTTGTATATCTTCCTTTGAGGAATGCGTATTCAGCTCATTTGCCCATTTTTTAATTGGGTTACTTGTTTTTTTTTGCTGTCAAGTTGTTTGATTTCCTTGTATATTCTGGATATTAATCCTTTGTCAGATGTATATTTTGCAGATATTTTCTCCCACTCTGTTGGTTGTCTTTTTTACTCTGTTGATTGTTTCTTTTGCTGTGCAGAAGCTTTTTAGTTTGATATAATCCCATTTGTTTATTTTTCCTATAGTTGCCTGTGCTTTTTGGGTACTACTCATGAAGTCTGTACCCATTCCTACTTCCTGGAGTATTTCCCCTATGCTTTCATTAAGAAGTTTTATTGTTTCAGGGTGTATATTTAATTCTTTAATCCATTTTGAGTTGATTTTGGTATATGGTGAGAGGTATGGGTCTAGTTTAATTCTCCTGTATATGGATATCCAGTTTTCCCAGCACCATTTGCTGAAGAGGCAGTCTGTTCCCCAGTGTATATGCTTGGTGCCTTTGTCAAAGATCAGACGGCTGTAGGTGTATGGGTTGATTTCTGGATTCTCTATTCCATTGACCCATGTGTCTGTTTTTATGCCAATACCATGTTGTTTTGGTTATTATAGCTTTGTAGTATAGTTTAAAGTCAGGTTTTACTATGCCCCCAGCTTTATTTTTTTTTGCTCAGAATTGCTTTGGCTATTTGTGGTCTTTTGTTATTCCATATAAATGTTAGGACGGTTTTTTCCCTTTCAGAGAAAAATGTCATTGGAATTTTGATGAGGATTGCATTGAATTTGTAGATCACCTAGGGTAGTATGGACATTTTCACAATGTTAATTCTTCTAATCCAAGAATATGGGCTATCTTTCCATCTTCTTGTGTCCTCTTTAATTTCTCTCAACAGTGGTTTATATTTCTCATTGTAGAGATTTTTTTCACATCTTTGGTTAATTTTATTCCTAAGTATTTTATTTTCTTCTTGGCTATTGTAAATGAACTAGCTTTCTTGATTTCTTTTTCTGCATGTTCATTGCTGGAGTATAGAAATGCTACTGATTTTTGTGTGTTGATTTTGCATCCTGCAACTTTGCCGAAATCATTTATCAGCTCTTAAGAGTTTTTTTTTTTAGAGGCTTTAGGCTGTAAAAATGATATAATAAATTTTTAAAAGAAAATAGTATTTGAATATATTGTGGACAGCTCTTTCATGAAATTTTTTTTTAAGTACAGGAAGAATTAGGAAGAACTGTACAGAATTGTTGATGACTAAATGCATTCTCCACACTTGATAATATTCAGTATTTCCTGTTGATAATAAGAATGATAGTACTTAACATTTATTGAATACTTGCTATGTTCCAGAAAGTCCCATCCTTACCAAATTTCTTTTTTTCTGGGGAAGCAGTTGCTTTGTTCTGGTGAAGCAGTTGCTTGTTTAGGTAATTATGTGTATATAAGCAGCTGGAAAAATTATATGAATGTATGTTAGGACTCTCATGTAATTCTGTATACACTTGTCTTCCTAAGGTAGTCTAACAGATTTGTTTTCTCTTTGGATAGGCTGAAAAGAATGTACCCAACTTGAAAAGTACCTATAACAATGTTGTACAACTGATTAAGGTATGAGTGGATAATAATTTATTTTTTAGTTAAAAACTGCATTTCTATTTCTATGTAAATATATTAAGAAAACTGTTTTCTAACTTAAATTATAAGATCCTTAAGGATGAAATGGAATATTATAAGTTGTATCCTTTAACCCATGAAGAATAGTGCCTTATACAGAGCAGACAAGCAAATAATAATTGACCCATTACTAAAATCAGCTTTCTTCTCTAGGTGAATTTTTCCTCTTTGGATATTCATTTACATACTGAAGCACTTCTGAATACAATAAATTATTTTAATAATATCCTTCCACAGTCAGAGGAAAAATCAGCCTCAGTGCATATTGCAGAGACTGAAGACAAAGGAGATGTTGTTAAAAAATTAGGTATGTTTCCTTAAAATTCAACTTTAAATTTTTCTACCAAGTAGATCAATAAATTTAGACTCTGGCTTTATTTTGTACTTACAGTATTGGCTTCAGAATTCTATTGCCTCAGTATCTAGAAGGATTCATGATATATCGGTTAATTTTAAAAATAATAGTAAGGGAAGCTGATTATTGCTGAATAAAATGTGGCTTTTGTTTATTGCATATTTATTGATTTTAGATAAATATTATACAGGCATACCTTGTTTTACTGCACTTCACAGATACTGTGTTTTTTTTACAAATCGAAGGTTTATGTTAACCCAGTGTTGAGCAAGTCTATTGGCACCATTTTTCCAACAGCATGTTCATGTCTCTGTGTCACATTTTGGTAATTCTTGCAATATTTCAAACTTGTACATTATTATTTTATTTATTATGGTGATCATTGATGTTTAATGTTACTATTGTAATTGTTATGGGGAGCCACAAACTGTGCCTGTATAAAACAACGAGCTCAATAAATAAGTATTGTATGTGTTCTGACTGCTACACCCACTGGCCGTTCCCCCATCTCCTCCACCTCCTCCCTATTCCCTGAGACAAAACAATATTGAAATTAGGCTAGATGATAACCCAACAATGGCCTCTAAGTGTTCAAGTGAAAGGAAGAGTCACATATATTTCACGTTCAATCAGAGGCTAGAAATGAGTAAGCTTAGCGAGGAAGGCATGTCAAAAACTGTGATAGGCTGAAAGCTAGGCCCCTTGTGCCAAACAGTTAACCAAGTTGTGAATACAAAGGAAACATTCTTAAAGGAAATTAAAAGTACTTCTTTAGTGAGCACAGGAGTGATAAGAAAGCCAAACAGCCTATTACAGACATGGAGAAAGTTTTAGAGGTCTGAATATAAGATCAGATCAGCCACAATATTCCCTTAAGCCAAAGCCTAATTGAGAGTAAGACCTTAACTCTTTAATTCTATGAAGGGTGAGAGATGTGAGGAAGCTACAGAAGAAAAGTTTGAAGCTAGCAGAGGTTGGTTTATGAGTTTTAAGGAAATAGAACATCTTCATAACATAAAAGTGCGAGGTGAAGCAGCAAGTGCTTATGTAGAAAAGTTACCCAGAAAGTTGAGCTAACATAATTGATAAATGTGGCTACACTAAACAACAGATTTTCAGTGTAGGTGAAACAGCCTTATTTTAAGGAGATGCCATCTAGGACTTTCTAGCTAGAGAGAAGTCAATGCCTGGCTTCAAAGCTTCAAAGGACAGGCTGAGTCTCTTGTTAGGGGCTAATATGTACAGCTGGTGATTTCAAGGTGAAGTTCATGCTCATTTTCCATTCCCCAAATCCCAGGGCCTTTAAGAATTATGCTAAATCTGCTCTGCCTGTTTTCTATAAATGGAACAACAAAGACGACAACAGAACATCTGTTTATAGCATGGTTTACTGAATGTTTTAAGCCCACTGTCAAGAGGTACTGCTCAGAAAAAGAGATTCCTTTCAAAATATTCCTGCTCATTGACAATGCACTTATTCACCTGGGAGCTCTGATGGAGATGTACAAGGGGATGAATGTTGTTTCTGTGCTTGCTAACACCACATCCATTCTGTAGCCCATGGATCAAGGAGTAATTTTGACTTTCGAGTCTTATTTTTTAAGAAATATGCATCTTAAGGCTATCGCATTCATAGATAGTGATTCCTCTGATGGATCTGGGCAAAGCAAGTTGAAAACCTGGAAAGGATTCACCATTTTGGAGGCCATTAATAACGTCCTTGGTTAATGGGAGGTCGAAATGTCAACATTAACAGGAATTTGGAAGAAGTTGATTTCAGCTCAATGGATGACTTTGAGGGGTTCAAGATTTCAGTGGAGGAAGTAACTGCAGATGTGGTAGAAATAGCAGGAGAACTGGCATTAGAAGTGGAGCCTGAAGATATGACTGAATTTCTGCAATCTCATGATACAACTAACAGATGAGGAGTTTCTTATGGATGAGCAAAGAGAGTGGTTTCTTGAGATGGAATCTACTCCTAATGAAAGTTGCTGTGAACATTACTGAAATGACACAAGGGATTTAGAATATTATATAAACTTAGTTGATAAAGTAACAGCAGGGTTTGAGAAGATTGACTCCAATTTTTAAAGAAGTTCTACTGTGGGTAAAAAGCTGTCAAACAGCATCACATGCCACAGAATTCATCTTTGGTGAAAGGAGGAGTCAGTCGATGTGGCAAACTTCATTGTTCTTTTATTTTAAGAAATTGCCACAGCCATCCCGTCCTTCAGCAAGCACCACCCTGATCAGTCAGCAGCCATCAACATCGAGGCAAGGCTCTCCACCAGCAAAAAGATTACAACTTGCTGAAGACTCAGATGATCATTAGAATTTTTTGGCAATAAAGTATTTTAAATTAAGGTATGCACATTGTTTTTTTTTTTTTTTTTAAATATAATGCTATTATTGCTCACTTAATAGACTACAGTATTATAGTGTAAACATAACTTTTATATGCACTGGGAAACAAGAAAATTTGTAACACTTTAATGCGGTATTTGCTTTATTGTGGTGGTCTGGAACCAAACCTGCACTATCTCCAAGGTATGCCTGTACAGTAGAAGTATTTGATTTAGATTAAAATTTATGCATTAAATAACAATTGTTTTAGGTTAGGAAAATGTGACTAGCAAAACTTGAGTAATGTCAGGTATATTTTTTGATCACAGCACTTAGGGGTAAAAAGTTGCAATTTAATAATAAGTATCTCCTAGTAATCATTGAGCCTCAAAAGATTTAGGAACTGCTACAGTTTCTTAGTTTCAAATGTTTAGTCTCCTCTAGGAAGTGTTTTGTTTTGTCTGTTTACTTTCTTTTGTTTTCATTAGATGTGATTATTTTTTAGAACCCCAATTGGAGTAGAAAATATCTTCCCTTGTGTTCAATTGAATTGCAAATCAGGTGTTTTCTAGTTTTATTATTATATGTGGTGATATTTCAGTTACTTTATAAGTGTAGGGAGGTAACTACTAAAAGTTTTTTCTTGTGTTTTACAATATGAATTTTTTTTTGCAGCTTTAAAACTATCCACAAATGAGGATATTATTACCTTGCAGATCCTAGCAGAATTATCATGTTTAAGGATCTTTATTCAAGATCAGAAGCGTAACATTTCTGAAATTAAGATTGAAGGTAATAAAATTTTACAAAAAAAATAGATACTGTTAAATTAAAGAAAGGGCAATTAGTCATCCTTTTATTCCCTCAGGACTTGATTCTGAGATGATTATGAGGCCTTCAGTAACTGAAATAAACGCAAAATTAAGGAATATAGTTGTTTTGGATTCTGATGTAACAGCTGTATACAAAAAGGTAAGAATTTGTTTTTATTAAATAATAGTACATCCTTATATGTGATTGTCCTTTAAGAGTGGTCATAGGTATCAATTAGTTAGACATTTGTCAGATTTTAGCAATGTGGCTTATTATGTGCATGGGTTTGGAGTAAGGCCTAATTGTTTTTATCTTACCTATGCTTCTCGGATTTTGTTTATTTGTAAAATGAGGATTACAGTATCTCATAAATGAGTAAGTATAAGTAAGTCTCCTGGAACAAAGTATTAGGAGGGGGTGTAGTAAATACCACAGTTTTTCTTTTTATTCTCTTCTTCAAATATCCTGACCTCATCATGCATTTCAGAGAGCCTGAAGTCTAATCGAATAAAAAAAGATTTTTTAAAAGTTTATTTTCATGTATGCTTACTAGTATAGCTGTTATAATGTTAAAAGAGTCCTTTGAACTGGATGTTTAGTGGTCAAAGGGTAGGTATTTTGTTACTGGTTGTAAAACAGTAAGGTTCCTGGACTAGATACTTTTGTGGAGTTGGACAGGTAATTCTTGAATAATGAGGCATAGGTAGAATGGTATATTTAAGGGAATGAGAGAATATCAAATAGGATCAGGAAAAGCTGGAGTACTTGTTGAGTCAGGCTGTCAGCGTTTGGAGTATGTCAGGAAGAAAGGAAATAGAGAAGTAGACATAAACAATAATACTGATGATATAGTGATGATCTGATTTTTATGTTTAAAAAAAATTCTTGTTTATATATTTTTATTATGGCTTATTTAGAATGAGGTAAAAAGAGTCCCAAAACATCGAGCATAGTTCAGTAGGAATAAGGAACAAGAAATTTTCCACAAGCCACAATTTGATTTGCTTTTATTACTTTAAGAATCATAGTTTTACAGCATTTAAGAGGTAGATTATCCATTTTAGTTTTTCTATCTAGAAAATAAAGTTCCCAGAAATAAAGGTGTCTACTAAAAGTCATACAAGTAGTGACAACTGATATAACACTAACCATTGATTTTTTTT